TCCTCCTCCTCCTCCTCCTCCTCCTCCTCCTCCTCCTCCTCCACTGTGCTATGGGTATAGTTTCCCGCATGTTGTCCGCAGATGGCGAGGCATCCTCATCGCAGGCGGCCATGACATCCTGCGACTGCGCCCTCGTCGATGGCGCCGGGTGCTTCTCCCTCCGCACCATCGCCTACAGGAACTTGTCGAAGCTCGATCTCTCTTGTCCGACTCTTGCTTCGCGGATCGCCCCGTCGGAACATGATCCGATAGCAGGCGTTCTCTCTCCCTCTCTCTTTCTCTTCCATTTTTGCCTGCCGCCTCTCTGCCAAGTCCCTTGCTTTCCGTCCCTCCCTCCCCCGCCGCCCCCGCCCCACCCCGGGCGGCCCCGCAAGTCGGCGCCTGCGAGGAGGTCCTCCTGGCAACATCGGAGGTTAACGCTTGGAGTCTTCCAGCCAGCAGGCGTGGCTGGATCCTGGACTCTCGTACTGCCGCCTCCTCCTCCTCCTCCTCCTCCTCCTCCTCCTCCTCCTCCTCTTCCTCCTCGCGCCAACTTTTGCCTCGCGAGCTTGGGGTCCCGTGCCCTTCCGTGCCTCCATGCCCAGGGGTGAGCGAGCGCCCTCGCCAGCACCCCCCCCCCCCCGGCCCGCTCTCCTCGCGCTGCCCCGCCCGGCCGCCTCCTGCTGCCCACGAGCGGCGGTGAGGACGGCGCCTCCCTCCTCCGCCGCCGACGCTGCCGCCGCCCACGCCTCCCTCTGCCGCCCCGCCCCGCCCTGCTGCACCGCGCCGCGCGCCCGCCTCCTCCTCCTCCTCCTCCTCCTCCTCCTCCTCCTCCTCCTCCTCCTCCTCCTCCTCCTCCTCCTCCTCCTCCTCGCGGCGCTCGCCCCTCTCCCCGCCCCCTCCCCCTCCGCCCCGCCCGCCCGCTAGCCCCCTGGCCCGGCCCTCGCCCCGGCGGCGACCCGGCCCGCTGTGGAGCCTCTCCCCCCGGCCCCCCCCGCGCGTGCCCTCGTGCTCTCCCTATGCGGCGCCTGCCCGACCGTCGTCGGTGGGCGGCGGGCGCTCGCTGCCCGAGTGCGCGCCGGGCCTCTCGGCGGGCGGCGCGCTCGGCCGCCCGCCCGCCGCGCCGGCGGCCCCGTGGGGAGCTCTCCGCAGCGGGCTCGGCTGGCGGACCCCAGGCTGCCGGGCGTGCGTCGTGCTCGAAGGATTGCAAAACAACCGAAGGATTGCAAACAAACCCGAAGGATTGCAAAAAAAAACCGAAGGATTGCAAAAAAAAACGAAGGATTGCAAAAAAACCCGAAGGATTGCAAAAGAACCCTTGAACGAAGGATTGCAAAAAAACCCTTTGCAATCCTTTTTGCAATCCTTCGGTTTTTTTTTGCAATCCTCTGCCCTGGGGGCACCGAAAGGTACACTTCTGCCGGGCGTGTCCCCCTACAGGGGGATTGTCGACGAGCAGCGCACAGGGGGTATAGGGGGAGGGGGGAGGGCTTCTTAGAGAAGCACCCCTGCTTCTCAGAAGGCGCGGGCCTTGTCTACGAATGTGAGGCCGGCGCCTTCTAAGAAGCAGCCTCCTTCTAAGAAGCCTTCCCCCCTCCCCCAACCCCCCTCTGCGCGCCGCCAACAATAAAAAGATAGCTTAAAAATAATCCAAAAATAGTTTTGGGACTATGTTTGGAGTATGTTTTACCTTGTTGGTGTATTTTTGGGTGTGTGTGTATATATATATATATATATATTATATCGTCGAAAATCCCCCTGTAGGGGGATACGTCCGACTTACAGGTACCCATACCGCTACTCCCCGGACCTCTCCCGGGGTGCGCTCTGACTAGGATTTCGAGGCGAATCCAGCGGTGGCGACGAGGGCCTCCGAGGAGGCCCCCAAGGGGGACAACGAGGAAGTGGTAGAGGCATGGGCATCTGTTCCTCCTCGGATGCTCCTCCTGGCACTCGTCGCCCCCTCCATCCCCGTCGGTCGCCGGTCGTCCTGCGCTTCTCGTGCCAAGGAGGGCCCCAGAGGCCAGGGGGGGCCTAACCGACCCTTCGCACAAACCATCCCCTTCCGTGCCGTGCCCCTCGCCTCGCCCCACGACGTATGTGTGCGGCCACAGGGGAGCTCGACAGGCGAGAAGGACGTCACGGAAGGGGATGGTTTGCTAGGGGTCGGTTATAGGCCGCGCCCGAAGAGGGGCCCCGGGCAGGGCCGCGAGCCGGCCCCCCCCGGGCTTGAGAGCTCAGAGCCCCGAATCATCAGGGGTAAGTCGGGTCAGGGCTACCTCGGGTTCGCTTTTCGGGATTCCGAGCCTGCAAGGAGGAAAGACTGGTCTACTCTGTAAGAATGGTTTTTTTGAAGGCAGATCTGCCTTCAAAAAAGAACGGCTTTTTGAAGGCAGAGTAGACCATTTTTTGAAGGCAGATCTGCCTTCAAAAAACCGTTCTTACAGAGTTACCCCGGACCCGAGTTACCCCGGATATTTCGGGCGTCCAGAGCCCCAAGTCATCAGGGATAACTCGGGTCGGGGCTAACTCGGGTTCCTTGTTCGGGAATCCAGACCCGAGTTACCCCGGACCCGGATAAGTCGGGCGCCCAAAGAGCCAGCCTCGCTCGAGCGCGCCGGCGGCAGGTGCACGCCGAGCGGCCCGCGCCGCTGGCCTGCCTGTCGCCGGACGCCGAGGCAGGGAGGGGGGGGGGGCGAGGAGCGAGGCTCGGGGGTCCCAGAGATCAGGCAGTGGCGAAGCGTGATGGCTCGCCTCTAGGCCTACCGAACGATGTTCTAAGAACCGTTTGTGGTTTCCGTGAGATGTTCCTTGAGGCCCTACAGGAAGCGGGTCCTGGAGTTGGTTTTTCTCTGCGCGTTCGGTCTTGCGCGCAGAGCGGCCAGCTAGCGGTGGCCAGGCCGCTGGGCGCCTCCGAACTGACCGCGCCGACGCGCGGGCACTTCAGTGCGAGTCGGTGGCTCGGGCGGGCGCGCTATCATGTCGACGCCGACGACGGCGGACGAGGATGACAGTAGCGATGCTGGCGACGCGGCGATGAAAACAATGTCCGCTTCTGGATAGTGTTCAACCCATGCTCCCGGCAGCCTGCCGCCACGAAGGCAAACAGAGTGCTTGGAGGTGTGAGGAGAGGCCGCCCAGGAGTGAGGGCCCCCGGGTCCCAGGGGCCGAGGGCTGTGGTGTCCCCGGTGCGTGGGCAGGGGGAGGAGGGGGAGGAGGAGGAGCAAGAGGGGGAGGAGGAGGAGGAGGAGGAGGAGGAGGAGGAGGAGGAGGAGGAGGAGGAGGAGGAGGAGGAGGAGGAGGAGGAGGAGGGGCCCTCCCGGGGCCCCTGGGCCGTCGAGGACCGACTCGGGATGAGAGGCCGCCCAGGAGGAAGGCCCCAGGGTCCTAGACCTCAAAGGAGCAAAAGGGACCCATACCTCTACCCTTTCCCTGGTTTTCCCCTTTTTGGGCCACCTAGGCGGCCCTCGTCGCGACCGCTGGATTCGCTTCGAAATTTGGTGAGGACGCACCCCAGGAGAGGTCCGGGGATTGGCGGTATCGGTGCCCTGTGGTGTCCCCAAGGCCCGGTTCCATCAAGATCCCACTCCTTCATGCCAGTGCTCAAAGAGGCTTTCGCCACTTCGCTGACCCCGCGCAGTGGGACGTCCTGGGGGTTCGCGAGGTTCAGAAAGGAAGTGCAGTTTCTGAGTTCGTGAGGGGCCGAGGGCTGTGGTGTCCCTGGCGAGTGGGGAGGGGGAGAAGGAGGAGCAAGAGGAGGAGGAGGGGGAGGAGGAGGAGGAGGAGGAGGAGGAGGAGGAAGAAGAAGAGGAGGAGGAGAAGGAGGAGGAGGAGAAGAAGAGAAAGGAGAAAGACGGTGACGAGAAGGATGATAAGGATGGCGAGGAGGAGGAGGAGGAGGAGGAGGAAGACGAAGACGTGGCTTTTTGAGAGTCAGTTGGGGCCATCTGCGGGTTTTTTCGGTGACATCTTGGAGGGTTCGGGGGGTCTCTTGGGGATCCGAGTCGAGGGCTCGAGAGCTCCGAGCGAGTGCCGGAGTGTCGGCGATTTCAAGGCCCAGCCGTCGCAGAACGGCACTCCAGACTGCTGGGGACGGAGAGTGGAAGGGAACAGCCTTCATGCCTCACACGCATTGTGACGCCTGGCAATCGGGGGTCAGTGGATGAACGTTTCGACATGTCTCGTACTGTCGTCGTCGTCGTCACGTTTCCCGTCTTTCGGTGTCGCCTCATTGTAGGTCTCGTCGGCAAGCAGTTCCCCCGTGTAGCTATCAGGGAAGATCACGTGCCCTTGAAAATCGCTGTTTGGTGAGAATGGCTTGTGGATCTTGCCATCTGTTCCAGATGGGTTGGGTACACACTGTGGACATTTCGCTGTGTCGCTGGAGGGTCAGAATGTGTGAGAAACCAATTGGAGAAGGATGGAGGAGAAAGAGGAGGACGGAGGAGGAGGAGTAGTAGGAGGAGGAGGAGGAGGAGGAGGAGAAGGAGGAGGAAGAGGATGAGGAGGAGGAGGAGGAGGAGGAGGAAGAAGAAGAGGGGGAAGGGGAGGACGAAAGAGGAGACGCAAGGGCGAACGATGAGGACGAAGAGGGGGAGGAAGAAGAGGGGAAGGAAAAGGAGGACGAAGGAGGAGGACGAAAAGGGGGAGGAAGAGGGGAGGAAGCTGGAGGAAGCCGAGGAGGACGGCAGAGGAGGGCGGCGGAGGAGGGCGCAAAGGGGAGGGGGGAGGACGAGCATGGAGGAGCGGGGAGAAGGCAGGGCGAGCAGGACGCGGACCGTGTCCTCATGGTTCACCACCGCGCCGTGCGCCCATGGGCGCGGCCGCCTTTCGTCCATCTGCCTCCGCCTCCTTCCTCCTTCCTTCCTCCTCCTCCCTCCCTCCTTCCTCCCTCCTCCTCCCTCCTCCTTCCTTGTCCTCCCTCCCGCGGCCGCCTCTCGTCCAGCTCCCGCCCCGCCTGCGCGGCGGGCGCCCGTGCGCGTGCGCACGCCGCTGGCCTCCGCGGCACACCGCGCCGGCCTGGGCCCCGCCGCCGCGGAGCAGCACGTGCTCCCGCGGTTGGCCACCGCACCTCGGCCGCGCGCCGTTCGAGGAGGAGGAGGAGGAGGAGGAGGAGAGGAGGAGAGGAAGAGGAGGAGGAGGAGGAGGAGGAGGAGGAGAGGAGGAGGAGGAGGAGGAAGAGAAGGAGGAGGAGGAGGAGGAGGAGGAGGAGGAGGAGGAGGAGGACGAGGTCGCCCTTCCTTTGTCCCATGTCGAGTGGCTGCGCAGGGGCCCACTGGCCTCGGGAGGAACTATCGCACGTTCTCGATGCGACTTTCGTCACCGCGAGGCGAGCTTCGCGGGTGCTATGCGGCGTGTGGGCGTAGTAAAAACACAGGGGGAGCAAGAACGGCCGGCCCTCGAACCTTGCGGCAGAGCCTTGGCCGCCTTTCTTTGTCGGGCCGGCCTCTGGTCCGAACGCGAGAACTCATACTTTGCCGTCGCGCCTTCTGAGAGGTGGCGCAGGCATCTCCTCAGAAGGCCGGGGGGACGTCCGAGCCTCCTGGGAAGGCCCGCCCCTTCTTCCTTTCCTCCCTGGCCGCACCGCCGACAATGCAGGGGGGCAACAGTAACGGCCGGCCACCGCCCGCGGAAGCCTCGAGCCATTCCCAGCACCGGCTTTTCATCATGAGCCGTTTTGTTGACGGCCCCGAGGCCCCGCGAGGGCCCCAGGGGCCAAAGTTTGCGAAGACCCTCCGTCGCTTGCTTCGTTGTCCACTGCATTGGATCTCTCGGGGTGGAAAAAAGACGGCCGCCCCTCGCACATTCGGGCCGAAGGAAAGGGGGGGATAGGGAAAGGGGGGTTTGCACAATCTGCTGCATGCAGCTGGTCTCAGCCCCGCCGCCTGGCCCATTCCCCGGTACATGGGCGCCTCCCGGCGCCGGGGGGGGCTGGGAAAATCAGCTACGTGAGCTGATGTTTTACCCTACCCTTTGCTATCCCCTCCTTTCGTTCCCAGACATGCGACGTCCCGATTTTTTCAGGACGGCGTCCACGGAAGTCCCGACCCTTTCCCCGGGACCGGTTTTACGTCCTGAGTCCTTTTCTGACGGTCCCGAGGCCCGGCGGGGGCCCTCCGGAGCCGAAGAGAACCCCAAACCTCGGGAGCCTCGAGACGGGGGTCAGCGCAAACGGGGGTCAGCCAGAGCGCCAGATCCTGCAGGATCCTGCGACGACCCCCTCCTGGCTGACCCGGGTTAGGGAGCCGCTCGTGGCCGCGAGGCGGCCGCGCGTATTGGCTGACCCGGGTTTGCGAAGACCTGCGTTGCAGTTTTTTTTTCCTGCATTGCAGTTTTTGGTTTCCCGCTGACCCGGGTCTGTATTGACCCGGGTCAGAAGATCCCCGAAAACCTCCCGCCCTGGCTCTTTCACGACGCGAGATCACGTCTGGGTCCCCCCCTTTTCGTTCCCCTCGACCCCCGCACCCCGCGGCGGCACGGTTTGGCCGCAGCTCCCCGCGGCGACCCGCGGGAGGCGCGCCTGGCCGGCGCCCGCGCCTGCGCGGAGCGGCGCTCGGACACGGAGGGCAGGCCGGCGGCGGAGGCCCCGGCCCGCGGGGGGGAGCGAGCAGACTGCCCCCCTCCTGCTCCTGCTCCTGCTCCTGCTCCTTTTCCTTCTCCTCCTCCTCCTCCTTTTCCTCCTCCTCCTCCTCCTCCTTTGCTCCTCCTCCTCCTCCTTCTTCCTCCTCCCCCTCCTCCTCTTGCTCCTCCTCCTCTTCCTCTTCCTCTCCTCCTCCTCCTCTTCCTCGTCCTCCTCCTCCTTCTCCCTCCTCCTCCTCCCTCCTCCTCCTCCTCCTCCTCTCCTCTTGCTCCCTCCTCCTCCTTCTCCTCTCCTCCTCCCCCTCCTCCTCCTCCTCTTCTCGTCCTCCTCCTCCTTCTCCTCTTCCTCCTCCTCCTCCTCCTCCTCCTCTTGCCCCTCCTCCTCCTCCTCCTCTCCTCCTCCCCCTCCTCCTTCTCCTCCTCTTCCTCGTCCTCCTCCTCCTCCTCCTCCTCCTCCTCCTCCTCCTCCTCCTCCTCCTCCTCCTCTCCGTAGCCATTTTTGCTCAAGACGGCAGGCCAAAAGGGATACCGCTGTCACCGCGGCTCGCTTTCATCTTCTCACGTCGCCTGGTCCGCCCCAGGCTTCGTCTGCTTCCTGCGCCCGCAGGTGAGCAGGTTCAGTGCTGCACGGACATATCATAGGGACGCGGGAGCAGGCAGCTTGCAAGTGGCACCGCAAGACTTGTAAGAACATTCGCACGGGTAAACAACGGTGGAACATGGCGCATGCGAAGAAGTGCGTGCTATGTGGACTGGTCAAAGGTAGCGTTTCTTGGGCAATGGCATGCCTTCGGAGCCGTCCTCCCGCATCAAGCAAGCCAAGCAGTTCCCATGGCGAGAAGGGTCGGATGCTTCACAGGTGCAAGCCAAGCGCGCTCGTGAGTTTGAGGCTCAAGTCCGTGCGCTGCAGTCGGAGGTTCCCCGTGGCGGTGCCTCACTCGGCGATGCCATGCTGGTCGACGACGACGCCAAGGAGGACGAGGCCGAGTCACGTCGAAGGCTCAAGGAGGTCGAAGAGCAGCTGGCTATCGTGTCCAAGTCTTCGGGAGATGCCAAGGCGGGTGTTTTCGTGGAGGCGCTGCGTGCCGAGAAGGAGTCCATTCATACCAAGCTCCAGGAGTCCCGCCCGAAGAATGAGAAGTTGCAGACGATGTCTAATCGGCTCAAGCCGGCGGAGGAGAGGGCCGTGGCATCACGAGAGCTGGTAGCAGTGAGGAAGGAACAGTTACTGGAGGTCCAGGGGGGGCCTGGGGCAGGCCGAGAAGGACCTACAGGAGCAGGAGTACGAGGTGGTTGCCCTTAATGCGGAGGTGCAGGAGCTTACGAGACAGGCACCTGCAGCGCCGGAGGAAGCAGATCTACAGGCGAAAGGCAATCATATGCAGATCGACGTGCAGGCGCTTGGCAAAATGCTGGCGCAGCAATGCCTGGGTGCCGAGCAGGCGCCTGTATTGGCACAAGCGCTGGCGTCTAGCATGGGGCAGTTCGCGCAGTCGGAGCCGAAGATGGTCGTCAGGCCCGAGGAGATGCATGCTGCCGCTGCGCCGAAGACGCCTGCGGCTGGAGGGGGAGAGGCGCCTGCCATTCCCGTTGCCGCGGCCGAGGCGGGCGGTGCAGCTGAACTCTTGTCATTGGACTCCAGCACTGCTGACGCCACGGAGGAGGAGTTGCTCGCGTCCCTGGAGGCGCTCTACCCTTCGGACATGGCTGACAAGTTGCCTACCGATCTGGAGGGCCTACGCACGTCTGCTGGTCGTCTGGTCTCTCTGCCTCTGTTCAACAATCCCCGACAGCGACTTGCCGTCGTGCAGCGCCCGTCCTGAGATGCCTCTCAACGGAGTTTTGCCATTTCTGATTCAGCGGGAAGAGAGGCGGCTTCTTGACGAGCAGTCTCCTGATTTTTGCGAAGGTCTCTGTGAGGATGATTGTGTACCTGGCGGCGCGGTGGAGGATGTGGCAGTCGCGAGGCCCGCGGGCCCTCGGGGCGACGCGAGCCCCCGTTTGGGGGCTGCCGTCGGCGCGAGGGGCGGAGAGCGCGCCGCTGCTGGCGGGGCAGCGCGGGCGGGATCCGACTGCCACTAGAGACGGCGCGGTGGCCAGCGGGGGGTAGCGGAGCAGCTCTCTGAGGACCCTGAGGCCCCCCCCCCACGGCAGGCACAGTCACAAGACCGTTCCACGCGTGCCGGGTCCTCCTTTTCACCCGCGCCGCCAGGGGTATGTCTCCCTTGGGCGGGGGACATTGGCTGGTCGGAAGGCGACTTCGGCTACCTCCCCAGATTGCCAGGGCAGTGTCTCCCCTGGGCTGGGGACACCGGCTGGTCGGACGGCGTCGTCGGCTGATCCCCCAGATGGCCAGGGATGCGTCTCCCATGGGCTGGGGGCTTCTACAGGTGTCTCCCCTGGGCTGGGGGCGTTAGCAGGTCGGATGGCTTCGCTGGACGGCGTCAGTTCGTAAAGTCCTAGTGCGCCACTGCGGCTGCTCCGTCGCCGCGGGCGTCAGGTCGCGAAGTCCTGGTGTGCCATTGCGGCTACCGGGCACCGAGTCGCCACGTGATCTAGGGATTCCACGCGCTGGTTCTGGTCCTCGTGGAAGCTGCCTCGAGCTCAAGCTCAAAGGCGTCATCGCCGCTGTCAGCGTCGAAAGGCCTGGTCCACTGAAGCTCTTCATGGAGACGTATCGGTCGCAGATCGTGGTCGTTCAGGAGCATCGCACCATGGGCCAGCACCTTCGCTCTCTCCAGGCCCATGTCTGTGATTTGGGTTATCGCGGTCCCTTTGCAGGTACAGTCGAGACGGAGCAGATGGGCAGGTCTGGTGGTGTGGCTATACTGGCTCCTGCGCACATTGTGATCAAGGCTCCTCCTGATCAGCGTGGTCACGTACTCGTCCAGGGCCGCATTGCCGCTGCCGGTGTTGCGTGGATGGTACCAGGTGGCGTGGTAATTGCGGCGGTGCATTTGATTTCGGGAGATGGCATCAGTCGAGAGAGTGAGGCTTTGCTCGTTCCGTTGGCTCGGCGATGGGCGGTGCTCAAGTCCATCGGGAGCGATTGGGTCGTGATTGGGGACTGGAATATCACGCCAGATCAACACTTGCCTGGCTGGCTCGCAGGAGTTCGTGCTTTCCTTTGTGCACCGAGCAGGCCCAGTTGCCTGTCGGAGCAGCCGGGCAGCATCCTCGGCTACGCGCTGGTCTGCTCCAATCTGGCCGCGATGGTCAAGAGGTCCACGGTGGTGGACAACAGCAATGTGAAGGTGCATATCCTTGTGTATCTCCCAGTCCTTGATGGAGATCGTCCTGCGTGGGCACGGCAGGCGCGCGAGCCCGCTCCTTTCCCGAAGGTGCCGCCGATGGGTTGTTCACGTTGTCCGCGTGAGTCGCGGCATGTGGATCGCCTCGCATCTTTTACGCTCGGAATGCTGAAGACCTTGGTATCGCGACGGGCGCCATGCTTGCTGGTAACGAGTTAGAGCTTCAAGGCGTGCGTGACTGCGTGGAAGGGGTAAGGCCTTTTTTGTCTCTGGGCGCGGAGGCACATTGCGAACCCAGCTCGTGCAGTCCGAATGGCAACCTCCTTCTCGACGATTGCAACATGGCGCTGAACTACGGGTTCGGGCAGCGGCTCTAGGACGGGGCAACGCATAGCAAAAGGGTGCTTGACCAGTTCACCGCGCTGGTTGGCAAGCTTTTAGCGCGGGGGGATGGGAAACGAGTTTTTGGCGGTTCAAGCAGATCACACGAAGTTTCCTAAGGTTTTGTTTGAATATGCTCGGTTTGTTGATGTGTTGCGGAGGTGCAGGGACACCCTTGGGGCGCTATCTACTTGGGCATCGGAGGTTGTTTTGTACATGGCTCGTGCTTCGACATTTTTGCTGGCGGGGACTTCGAGCAGACGGTTGGCAAGTTTGAGGTTGAGCATGCCAGGCTTCGTGCATTGCGCGGCGTGCGTGATAGGGCCAGGTGGAAGGCCTTCGTTGACCAGGCATGTGTGAATGGTGCTAGTGGCACACATCGATTAAATCGATTACAGGCCGCGCAGAAGATTGTCGAGGCTGGAGAAGAACAGTTTCGACGCGAGCTTGCCGATCGGGCGATGGCCAAGTGGATCAAGGCATGGGCAGTGCACGAGTGCACGAGGACGACGACACGGCGCTTCCAGGTGATTCCGCTGACTGGGAGGAGCTGCCATACATTACTGTGGGCATGATGGGAGTGGTGTTTTTGACATTCAAGTAGCAGATGGCAGCGGGACCGTCGAGGCAACAGCCTCTATCACTTCGGTTCCTATCGTCCGAGGCTCTTCGCGATATTGCTGGCTTCTTCATGAGATGCGAGTGTCTTCTTTCGCGGCCAGCCCAACAGATGCATCCCGAGATGGCTCGGGTCCCGAAGGGTGGATGTGGGGCGCGACTGGTTGCTTTGATTCACACTTTGGTTAGGCTTCGAGCCAGGTCCAGGCGGCCGCTGTCACGGGCACGGTTTCGCAAATACCCTTGTGAGATGGTGCGGGGCCACAGGAGAGGTTGAGCGCCGTCTGGATCGGCCTCCATGCACAATGCGATGGCCGAGATGTCTAAGCATTCTGGGCGAGCATTCGCTCCGTGTCATGATGGGCATGTGGAAATGCTTCGACACGGTGACGGTGAACGTTCTATTCCAGGAGGCGCGACGCGTGGGTTTCCCGCTGAGGCTGCCGGGGCAGCTAGTCACCTGCTACAAAACGCCTCGTGCGGTCCAAGGTTTGTGGTCCATCTCCCATCTACGTGAGGTGGGACAGGGCGCATTGCCTGGCTGCACCACTCCCCATACCATGCCCATGGTTCGTACCTCGGTGCAGGTGCAGGAGCTTTGCCCCGCGGTGTCCCCTCGTGCTCTCGTCGACGATGGGACCTTGCAGTGGGCCGGCATGGACGTTAAGGAGAGCGCTGAGCTGGTCAAGGATATGCGGGAGTTCAAGAGCGGCACGCGCAGGCGTTGTCTTTTGGTGAAGCCTGTTAAGTCAGA